CCCCAAAACCCCAAAACCCCAAAACCCCAAAACCCCAAGAGCTATGGGAACATTGAGCTTAGGAATAATAATTTAATATGGATGAGATTGGGGTCAGGACTGGAGAAACTGGAAAGAAGAGAAACAGGAAAAGAATGCAAGAGAATAAAGAAGAGAGGAGGAAAAGAATGAATAGGGAGAAAATGCAGAGGTATCGGGGTAATTTAAAAACTCATCGTGAAACATTGGAGGAGGAGAAAGAAGAACTTACTATACGGATATTACAGTAGAATCAGCAGGTGAAAGTTCTTACAAACCAGAATGCTCAGCTTAAAGCAAAAATTGCTAGCCTGAAATCTTCTCCTAAGAATGTTGATGATAAAGATATTATCCCATCGAAGATATCTAATCCTGATTCCTCTCAACTAACCAGAAATCAATCTTTAAAATAAGAGTGCATCTCATGAAATGGCTTCTATCTCAAGTAGAGCAGATATGCAAGCCATATTAGACAGAATGAAAGATTTATGGTAAATCCCTGATTTAGTTTTAGTAAAGAATGTGCTGAAAGGACTAAGTTGGCAGTCAAACACCCAGCCCAAAGTGAGATTACCGCTTTATTGGCTCTAGAATTTCCTAAGCTTGAGACTATTTTTAAAAGAGAAAACCACTTTTGTGAAAATACTCTGCCAAACTTGATTCAGAATAACCCAGAGAAGATCAGGCTTACTCTAATGGAGCAGAATAGAGATATTGCTGATGCTTATGGAGACTCGAGGATCCCGTATCTGAAGAGTCAGTTTAAAAGCATAATGAGCTATTCCCTTGCCTTCTTACACAACTTTGAAGATATGGATTTGCCAGAGTGGCTTAAATACAAAGAAGAGATGAAAAAGCCTAACCCTGATTTATCAGACATAAAAATGCCTGAAGGGTTTATCAATCAACATATGTCTGATGAATTTATTGAATATGTCAAAAACTATGGCAAAAAGGTAGTTCACATTTTGCAAGATGTCAGAAGATGAGTCCATGAACCAGTAAGATCAATACTAAGCACAAATTCTTACCAAATGAGCTTTTAACCACTGGTTTGATGCCAAATATTGTTCAATTTATTGACTGGAATAGATAAAACTGCGAAACAGGATGCTATCATTGTTGCATAAGTATAACTCACTTTACATTGAGCTAGGGTAAGACCTTCAAATTTACTTCTAGGTATAAGTACACCAAATAATGACCATATGTCAGCCAAAAAAGTGGGAGGATTTTAAATAGCAAAGGAATCGATATATTTGGTATTAATTGACTCCATGATCTGTAGATATCCTAAAAATATCAAGAAAATCTAGCGAAGAAGAGGATAAATCTGAAGCTGAAATGACTAAATTTAGTGATGAAGGGTTCAAGCTTAATCCTTAGTAATAATAATCTAACAATAAGGATCTCTGTTAGTTTCAACCCAATGATTTTATTTTAAGTACGCGAATCGATCATATTGATAAAAATTAGATTTATCCATTTCTCTTCAGTAGTCTAAAATTGTATAAGATTATTCTATGTTTGAGAAAGAAAGTGGGGTTTTGGGGTTTTGGGGTTTTGGGGTTTTGGGG